TGATAAAAAATAAATAAATAATGTTTTTTGTAAAAAAACAAAACAAAACAAAAGGGTAATTAAGGAAATTGATAAATGATAACGGGTGACGGAAAAAAACAAAGGCTACGAAAACGGAGTCAGCAAACGATGGTAGTGAGTCAAACTGTTGTCTTCGGGTCGTTCCGTCACCGGTGCCGGTCACCCACCACGTGACTGTCACGTGTGTCCAACCACGTGATACTGACGTGCCCTCCACATCTTCTGCTACTAGGATTTGCCAAATAGCATTATTTACTTTTTTGCTTTTTTTATTTTATTAAATATTATATATGGGTTTACGTGCAAAATCTTTTTTTATATTTTTAATTAATAATAACATATTTTCTTTAGTCGTTAGACATTTATGATTGTTTTGATTGGTTATCAAAATAAAGTGGTCTGTAATACGTAGAAAATTTAATTAAAATAATTTGAGAAAAAAGTTAATTGCTGGCAGCTTTAACCTGTTTTTATACAGAAGAATCCGTTTTCAAGAATAGTAATTTAAGAAGACATTTTTTGGTTCACTTAACTACTGAGGCTAACAGGGGTCCTGAATTGAACATAGGATCTGTCTTGTATATGATCAGACTCACTCCGACATTTTGTCAACTGAACTACACGTCAAATGCATTAATACAGCTTTATTAATTTTATTAGACTAACAAAGATAACGTTTTCAAGATTCTATGCTTGTATTTTCGAGTTACATCCAGATCAGTAGAACTTTCTGGTTAAGTTTTACCACCCGTTATGGTTCTTATATCGGCATCCCCGCTTTTACAACTATTTTCATTTTCACCACAAATGGAAACATAAACGTAATTGTTACTATAATTGCCATTATCACTTACAATGTAACTATTAATATGGATTTTATTTTATCTCTATTTTATCCTTGAAACATATCAATAGAAATAATAACGGACGAGTCATGGATTGTGCTTTAGAAAAAAATTAATCTGATGCATCTCATTAGTATTGACATTCAATTAAGATTGATCAAAGGATGGAGATATCTCCTCCTACGTTTCTCAAATCTTATCATAACTTCCCTTCTCATCGGAATCCAACCCTAATAATTAAGTATTAATTGTTTTGTATATATTTTTACGAACTTTTTAAAAAAGAAAAATAAATAGAAATGTAATAAATTTAATTTTTGTTGCTTAAGAAAAACAACAAATATATTTGGTATGGTTGGAGTGATGTTGCAATTGAGTCAATAGATACGGTTTTAGGTAGGAACATAAAGGTACTTACATACGTTTGGAATGTAGCCAATAAATTTAAGGTTTATTATTATATGTATTTAAATAATTTATTTATTAATTCATATATTGTTTTAAAATTCTTTTTTGGGTTGAAAATAATTGTTTTTTCAGTGATTTAATTCACTTTTAGTTAATTAATTTTTATGGGTTTTAATTCTTCAAAAGATTATTTGCTCTTAAATATGTTATCAAAATACAATAATATGAACCACAAGAGTGATGCCTGATTGGTTTGAGCTTGGCTTCAAAGGTAAAAGTACCAGAAGGTCTCAGATTTAAATTCAAGAAGAAATAAAAATCCCCTTGTGGCCACAGAGGTTCAAATGCGATGACTCCGAACTATCTGCAAAGCATGTGGTCGTCCTGGGATTAGTCGGCTCGTATAACGGGTTGGATATCCAGGTTAATAAAAAAAATACAATAATATGAATTATATGTAGAATTATAACAATTCAAGAGGATCTGACTATTTGGCATTGACTACACCACTCTCTTCTTAACAGCTTAATGAGTTTAAGAGGACTTACGGTTTATTAGATCAGTTATACATGATTGTTTGATAGTAACTTAATGATATAGAAAGTGACTTATTCAACAAGCTTTCAGAATGAAGTTTCATTCAAAAAACCAAGTTTTTTTCTTCTGAATTTGTCTCTTCTAATTAAAAAAAAACATATTACTTTCATCAATGAAAGAACTATCTCAAACAAGAACCTTTTCTATTAATACAAACAGATTAATCACACGAACAACTTATTCATACATAGCTTAATAAAAAAACCAACCAAACAACCCTTAAAATATCTACGCATGACTTAATCATAAACCCATAAATTACTAAGATTTATTTTCCTAAAAACGATATTCTTGAAATACAAACTTAATAAATATTTATATGAAATTAATAAATTAAAAAAGAGGTTTAAAAGTATACCCTAATTAATTTTATGGGGTCCATATCTTTTCCCCCCAACTCGTGTGCACGACCCCTCTATGGGTTTAATTTTAAAATAGTTTACACGTGGTGATTGTCTAATTTAAATTATATTCTAAAAATTATTTATTAAAAGGTAAAAAAATATATTTAAATTTAAATAAGCAAGTAGTTTGAATAGAAAAGCCAAGGTTCATGCCACCCTTGTCCCTAGATCTTGACTCTCTACGATTCGTACATTCCCTCTTTTTTATTTTAATATTTATTTAAATTAGATTCGATGATTTATTTCGTATATTTAACAGTGGGGTTTTAAATGATAAGTATTTGTAGCTGCTTTCAATCTGAAACATGCCTTATCAAGTTGAAACGGAAATAATAAATGAAGAAATGATGTAAAGCGAGCACGTTGTATGTTATAAGTCTCGTTTTTTTGTATATTAGATTTCATGTGACTAAATTTATGTTTTTATTATAAGAAGATTTGAGGTTACCTTTTCAAAGTGACCAAGAGATGACAAAAAAGGGTACAAGATGATCTTTGAAGTCATGGGACAAGAAAAGAGGTAGAACATGTAGGTTAGGTGTGAAGTTGCAAACTCATGCTCATGTCTTTTACATTTTAACACATCATATTTTAACATGCATGCATGCATGCATACATATATACACACACATAGAGGAAAAGTCAGTTGCGAACGTAACTTTTTTTGTGAACTAGGGGGGAGTAACGAGAACGTGCCATGTGTCCAATACATTCATGGGATATTCATCATAAATAGTGTAAATGTTTTCATCATGAATGTTGTAAAAGATTCATGTTTGCCATACATGATGAACGGAGATACGTGTCGCATTCTCATTTGGTCCTTTGTTCACATCGAAAGTTAGTTTCATAGCTGAATTTTCTCTATATGTGAGAGTGTGTGTGTGTGTGTGTATGTATATATATATATATATATATATATATGTGGAGGGATGATCAAATGAGAACGTGGACGAAATAAGATAAAAAGAAAACGGTCAATAACATGTGGACCATATGTGATTTTATATGTGATTACAGAATGTGGTCAACATAAGGGTGAGCAGGCGACCTGGCCCGTGACCTCAGGTTGCGGCTAAAGTCGTATGAATCACATGTGATTCAATTATTTTTATGTTCTATTATTTGATTATTATTCTCGTATAAATTTGAATATATATATATATATATATATATATATATATATAAAAGAATATCTTGTTATAGTAAAATATATTGTAATTATGTGATGCATTTGATGGATTTAAAATATTGAATCAAATATTATTATATTGATATAATTGAAGTGATGAAAAAGTGGTCATGTAATTTGTTGGAATTAGGTTTGGTTTTATGAAGAAAGAAAGTAGTGTTGGTCAAAATGAAGCCCACCCTCTTTGTTTTCATATTAATGGCTTCTTGTGTATGCATCTACTCTCAGTCTCAACACATTCTTTTTTTAATATCCAATTAATATTTATAATAAATTAAATTAAAATTAAAATACTCTCAATTTTGATAAATCATTCTAGACCAGTTATCAGAAGAAAATTAGACACAATTCGATGACTAGTTAGAACCGGTTATTTCCTACCAGTTATACAAATATGGCACTGGACCAATTATAAGGACCGGTCAACTTTCTTTTTTTGTTGAATTTTGTAGTTTTCACGTGTCACGCTTAATTGGTTAATGGACTTGACCTTCTTTTGGTTGTTTTCTGTACCTTTTTACTATTTTGTAGGTCTAACCGAAGAAGAACCAACTTTTGTACATGATCAAATAAAAAGAATCTTAATATATACATGATAAATTTGTTAACAAAAGAAATATTCATAATATGTTTTGATAAAAATAAAAGGGCATCTAATAGTCTGTTAAGTGGCAAGAAAGTTTTACGCTTACATTTTATGATAATATAATTAATCAAACTAGCATACGATGAGGTGATTCTGGTTTTACTAAACTAGACGTTTATATGGAATCAAATTTTGTTATGTATGTAATTGAGTACTTTGATCATCTAGATATATTGGCACGGTGAAAAAACAGAGCCACAATTTCCGATTTTGACCTTCATACCAAAAATTTACCAATTTGTCCTAAATCCATGTTTTTTGGGCTTTCAAAAGAAAGGACACTACTCACACCAGATACGAGATACAAATTACTCGATGTTTAACTTCGCTACATCAACAATGATATAGCCAACGAAAAAGGAACCGAATGAAGACGATGACTTAACAATAACAATCCCCAAAGACCAGTGGCAGACCAAAAGCCCATAAACTTCCCCGATGTGTTTTTAGTCAAATTCCATCATTTTCAGGTAATTTTTAAAGCTTTTTGGTAAAGTTTGAAGGATTTTTTTTTAAAGTTTTTTGGTTGATTTCATAAGATTCTGTAAGTTCTTTGACCAGTTTTGATAGACTTTTACAGCTTTTTTGGTGATTTAGGGTGACTATTCGTTTTTTGATTGATGTTCTTTGTATTTTCTAATAACCCGGAGCACACATCAAAAGTTAAGCGGGCGCACCTTTAATGCCCTAAAAGAAAATTCTACTTGCAAATATCAAAGTTGAGCGGGTGCACATGACCCCACTCAACCCTTCATAGGTTCACCCCCGCCAAAAAACCCGATAATTCCACTAAAACCATAAACCAAAAAGTCTACTAAAACCGGTAGTTCTAGATAGGCACATTTTTGACGATCAAGAACCAATAATTCTACTAAAACCGGAAACCATAAAAAACTTAAGTAGAAATAGAAGAAGATTAAATTGTTTAGGAACGCAAAGCAAAAAAAGGTGTGTTTTAAGGACATGTTTTGTTACCACCCTTTTCCTTCCATCCATCCAAACCCTATCTTACAATACATGAAAACAGTCACACATCTTTCATTCATTAAGAAAAGTAGTAGCAAAACCCAAAAGGAAAAAGGGTCCCATCATTTCCCCCAATTTGATTGAAATTACCCCATTGCATACTTCTGGGTCCAGCTTCGTGCAGTTGTCTCATACTTGCTCCTGTCGGTCTTGTACATGTGAGCAATCTCGGGCACAAGCGGATCGTCTGGGTTGGGGTCCGTCAACAGCGAGCAAATCGATAGCAAAACCTAAGTAAAAACCAAGAGATAAAGACAAGTCAAGAGCTTTGGCTTTAATCATCATACTTTTGACAAGTTACAATTACTTATTTGCCCTTGCCCGCACCTTGACTAATCCAGTGGGACCCCTGAAGATAATAGTTAGGAAAATCTCCGGTGGTCCTGAGAAGACTTGAATTGGCAATTTATTGTTGAGCTGGACCTCAAGGTTTCAGCTATTAGGGTTTGTCGTTGCACATTTGGAACTTCTAACATGCTCTAAAATCGATTGCCTACCACTAATCAAGGGGCTGCTTGGTTGGTTTTTCATGAAGACCTGTATAGATAAAACTGCCTATGTGAATTAATCAGTCTATATAGACCGGAAAGGTTTTTGTTTGGAAGGGTATTTTCATGGATGGAAGGAGAGCGTGATTAATTGGGAGGGACAGGTTTGGAAAAAACTTGGCTTTCTGCAAAGTTCTCCCTAGAAGCTAACTGCATAAGCCACTTTCTATATCAATAAGCCACTACCAAATAGTCATGTATAGCTGACCGAACAAGCTGTGAGTTCTGTTAAGCTCATTAAGCTGCTAAAAAACAGGCCCTTAAGTATGGTCTTCCAAGGAGTTTTCAGACATGAAAGCTTACTATGGCTTAAATGAAATGCTAAAATATTGACCTTGGAAATCGTTAGAGCTGGGCTCCATTGTTCCTTCAATATATCAAGACATATGCTTCCGTTGCTGTTGATGTTCGGGTGGAAAACCTTTGTCCTGAAAGCTACCTTTAAACAAGAAGCAGAAATGCATGTTAAGGAGTATGACACAGAAGTTGAAACATTTAAAATATACATTAATTTTGAAGTTGAAATGGAGCAAAAAACAAGATCCATGCAAAAATGAGCATATTGCTCAAAAATCAATTGCAGTTCATAAGTACCTTAGGTGGCTTAAATGGATAATCCGGAGGAAAGTGAATAGTAACTAGAAAGACTCCACCAGCATAGGGGCTGTCGGGAGGCCCCATAATTGTAGCTTGCCAGTGAAACATGTCTTCTGCCACTGGGCCTAAAATCACACTTACAAAAAAGAGGTAAACCAAATGAAGAATTGAATATTTTCACATCAGCTTATGATGAACACCCACAAATGAATAGAAATGCATGTGTTTGATTAGGTTCATAGTGTACATGTATGTATCTCCTATTATCCTATGTACCCAGTAGAATACACCATAAAAGATGCCCCTTTGGGATTCTAACCTATGAATAGAAATGCAGCCACAGTAATAGAGTTTACAGATGCAAGTATCTTGTCTTTTGAGATGTTAACAAGAGGTTGATGATATGATAGTAATGTTAAAGAACATAGTTTAGGAAAAAAAACTTGATATATCAAGTCTGTCTCACAAATATGTTGAGTTCAGCTGGAACTGAATCCCATATTCCCATGGTAACACACACAGCACACAAAGAGTATGAGTACATAAATAAATAAAAAAAGAAAGAGTACTTTTACTGTTTACATGATTACAAGTTTACAACATTCACCAGATGATAGCAGATAAATATTGTTCATACACACAATCCACACTACCACCAATTGTTTGATATCAATATGGTACTATAATTACTCTATGTATAGAAACATATAATTCACTTTAAGTACTCCATATATGCTAGAACAGTGGCACTGGTACATTTCTTTGATTGATAAAATAGTACTATAACAGGTTTAAAAGTGAGGTTAAAACTTTGTAGCAATTATGTTTATCTTGATGAATACCAGAAAGAGCAAGTATGCAGTGAACTTTGAGGGTAAATTATGTCAACTGAGTTTGATACTTTGATGTAAAATATATAGGGTTGTAAATTGTTAAATGCCAAATATCAAACAAGGATTTGACTTGCAGAACTAGTATGAAGGCCATGCCATTGCTTACTCCGTTGGTTTATGTTTTATATTTGATCTCATCTCCATATCTACAGAGACACATAATACAAACATTCAAGGATGTACATACACATACATAATACAAACATTCAAGGATGTACATACACATACATAATACAAACATCCAAATAAGCACATACACACAGATAATATGCTAGATAAACTCAAGCATGGCAAGATTCAAGGTAAGCATATTATGGAAAGACAAGAATAATATATCAAAGCTTCAAATTGAGTCAGTCAGTATCATAGGAAGCTACTTTCCCACTAAAAGCCCAGCTATATTGAAATAAATCCATATTTATACAAACATATATCATAGAGATGTTAAGAATATCAGGCTCGGAGCTCAAACTCACTTAAACTAGAAGGGAATTATGATTTAAATCTTTTTATGCATCTAATTGTCCTATAAATTTCAACAGTTAGGGTAGCACTCTAGCTAAGACTAAGTTGAACAGAAGTCTCTTCAAAACTTAAAGCCAATGACTCAGAAGTCAACTTTGGTTTTCACTAACACTTGTAGTGCCTCTTTATTAAAAAAAATTACTTGTAGTGCCTTGCTTTAAGAGAAGATTGATACAACAATGATACATGGTACCATTCACTATCAACCTCAGACTATATAGCAAATCAAAAAATCAATAAGATTTCAGCTCTTAAAATTACACACCCATCATTCCAAAATACATGCCCTTGAAAGGAGACAATATTTGTTTTTCTAGTAATAGAAATCTCCCTATTACAATTTCACAAAAGTCTACAGAAATACATGCTCGTATATATATGCCAATTTACAGTATGTTGTAATTATCAACTCCTCATCAGGATGGTAAGCCAGGAGGTTGGTAAAACCTTGTGTAGAAGCTAATGACATGGTATGCCCCAATTGGATAGCCCGTTTCATCAATCAATCACAGATCAACACCTATAATAGGAAATAATTCCCCTACCTATGTAAACAAGCAAATTTATCTAGAGATCAGACCATCTTCCAACAATTTCCCACACAACCACAAACAAAAGCCAACAATTCGTATTCTTTTCCACAGTTTTAGCAACAACAACAACAAATCAAAGCCAAACAGCATTCAATAGACGTGATTTAAACAGAAAATACGACAGATCAAAAACCAAGAGTTGGGAGAAAACAACAAAAACAGGATCTAAACGATGGATGTGATGTGAAGACGATACCTGCGCTGCAAGAGGTAGGAGGATCTTTCTGAAGATCCTTGAGTTCTTTCAAGATCCGCTTGGAAGCCATGAGTCAAACCAACACCAAGAAATCCTGAATTTTTCCACAAACACGAACCCTAACTTAATCTGAGACTCAACTCAATAACAACACACATACATAATAATAGACACATCAAAATCTATCCATATGAAGATTGAAGAGATAATTTAGAGAGAGAAAGAGAAAAAGAAACGATTACCTCGAAGATCCTCACCTCTGAAAATGAGTCGTCGTCTTTTTTTCTACTTCTGAAAAATCGGAGGAAAATACCGTGATCGGAGAAATGCCCTTTATATAGATTATTCTCTCTTCTGTCGTCTTTCTATTGGTCTTATCCCTTGGTCCCACCTATCCGACCCGACCCGACCCGATTATTTGATATTTCTCATCTCCCTTTTCCCCCTCTAATTAAGAAAATGTTGGAAGTTGTTTACTAAAACGTTTTCAAGTAAGCGTTTATTAGGTCAAACACCTAATGGGATGAATATGTTAAGAACTTATAATCTTACCCAGTAAGACTGGTGATAAATATCGATCTTTTGATCCGGTAAATAGGGGTGACGACTTTTACTTGATTAACGTTTATTATGTAAATTGTTACCTACGATGTTGTTTTGATGGATTAAAATCTTATCTTGTAGGGTAAGTGAGAATATTGACTCTCATCGGTAAACGTTTATCGAATAAGCATTTGGGTAAACACTAAACAACCCCGTAATATGTTTTAGGTTCTAAAATGTATTCATGTACAATACTTATTAGTCACATGGCCGATTTCAATTGTGTAAGAGGAAAAATAAGGTCTATGATCGACGGGTCTGTCAATTGCAACTGATCCTAGACTGTTTCTAATCGGTCCGATTATGCTTTTGAAAATTTACTATCGGTTCCATAAAAGCAAGTCTGAGCGTTCATATTCTTTAAAAACGGGTCCTTGATTGATTTTGACCGGTCTTTTATCCTAACGTCGGGTCTTCTTTTCCTAACCAATCGTTTTGATTCGGATTTAGTGCATGTTCAGTTCTCAATCCTTTCTTTACATCTATCGTCCATTGTATAGGTGATCATTTGCGGGCTTGAACTAGACACAGACTAAACCTAACCTTTATTAAATAGTAATTATAACTTTTATTTGATTATTTAAATTATAATCTGTCCAATTCTTTTACATTGACCGGAATCGTCCATTAGTCTTAACAGGCTGCTTATTTTTTAAAATAATTATACAAAAGTATAAGTACATTTTTTAATGGATCGGATCTGACGTTTCTAACGAATCACATTATTCATAAACAACTGTAAACTCTACTGATATCTTGTAGTGACCAACAACATGAATGGTTTGGACATCAATTAAACATGTCTTTAATCATCAAATTTACATATGATTAAGAATTTTTTTTGATGGAATTATCATGCATAAGCTTTTAAGTGAATTGCGACCATGATATATCAACTACATATATTTCGATTTATAAATAATTAATATGATTTTCTTTTTCGATTTTTTTTACCTAAGATGCGAAAGAAGAGTTATCACATATTTTTCTTATACCAAAATATACCGAAACAGATCAATACAAAAACTCAAATAAACTATGTATCATGTTTGTAATGTTTTTATGTTGAAAAGTGCAGTGTTTTATCAACTAATGACATTAAAGCACATGAGAAACGGCTGGTCCATACAGAGGTGGACCTACGAAGGTTACATCGTTTAACTATAAAAAACAAGCTACGTATATTTTTCAAGAAATTATTACTGATCTCTTGGTTAGTTCTCTTACTTTTCGTATGTGAGGTTTTGTGTACATGTTCTTTATCGCAATTTTTTCAAAAACATAATAAATCTGAAATTGACAGCTAAAAACTAAGAAAATAATCGAAATAGAATCTGAACTCATGTCCGGGATGTGATAAAAATCGTCAAAACCAACTTTGCCTAAATTTTTTTAACTTACGACATAGGAAAGTAATGATAACCTCTTGTTTACAATATTTAATGAAGTAAGTCCATCTCGAATCCATATATGTAACTATATTTATTATTTTTTCCTTAGCGTAATTAAATACAATTGATTTAAAAACAGAGACGTATACCGCTTGCTAGTTTTTTAAAACCGTTGCTTTTTCTAGAAAACAAAGGGAAAATATTTAATAGAAAATAACAAAGAAAAAGGATATAAAATTTACAACTCAAATAGTATCACCAAATCAGAGTGGCGCAGCGGAAGCGTGGTGGGCCCATAACCCACAGGTCCCAGGATCGAAACCTGGCTCTGATATTGGAGACAAGCTTCCAAATTCGCCATCATTTTTTGCGCTTCACATTATTTTTCCTGATGGTTACATGTAAAGGTGCCTGGGTCGGGTTGGGCCGGGCCCAAATTAATTATCTCGTAACTGATTCCGATTCCGACTCAAATATGAAGGCCTGGTCCTGTGTAAAAAAAATAAAAATTCGATTTTTTATATAATTTTTTTTAACGAATACAAAAGTATTATTCTAATTACAATGTGTAAATGATATGAGACAACTTGTGAGCTACTCGAGATCGACTCGGTCAAAGCTCAATTAACAATCTACTCGAACTAGCTCGGATTAAACTCGAACTCCACTCAACATATTAATGAGTTGAATCGAGCTACCTAATATTTGACTAGAAAAGCTCGTGAGATACTCGATTTTTTTATCTATAATTATTTTTATAGTATAATTTGTAAAATATAATATAATATAATATAATAAAAATGTCTTACTTTTTTAGATATTTGAACAAATTTGTATATTTTTTAATTATAAAAACTAATCAATTTTTTTATTTATTAAAAGCAAGTTAGTGTTTTAGCCGAATTTGATTGAAAAAAATTCGAATCACGCTCGGTAGCAAAGCAAGGGAAAGAGAGGTGAGTGTTTTTTGGGGGAGAGGTACTATTTCAGCAATCGATTCACTAGCACTTTTGCGCAATAATTCTATCTCATAATTAAAAAAAAGACAAAAAAACTACAAGACATATAAGTGTAAGTTGTCCCATATTAAAAAAGAAATAGTAAATGAAAGGTGATGGGTGTTATAAAAAGAGATGAGGTGAATAGAGTTTGTAACATTTGTCTTTTTGATGACTAAGAGGCCGTTTACCAAACACTTACCCGGTAACCACTTACACGGTAAGCAATTACCGGTAAAATTCAATACTATTATTTACTTATTGAGTAAGATTTTAGTCAACAAAAACGGTTATCATATTTGGTTTTCGATTATCATAAAATTATCACATAATTATTAGATGATTATCACATCAAATCACATCATAAACAATATTCAATCTATCAAATTATTGTCACATTATTATCACAGTATTATCATATCATTATCGAAAACGGACGCATCGACATAAAAACTCTCCGATAATAATAACAAAATTTAAGAGATGAAAATAAATCTAGATAACAAAAAGTTATGAATAAGTACTAATTTATTTTCATTTATTTTATTTTTTGTTATATGTTAATTAATTTTTATTTTCATTTATTCTCTTTTTAATTATGTGTTAATTAATTTGGAGGTCCCTAAGTGTTCTGACATTTTCATAAAACAGGGGTGTTCTCTTTTGAATCATTCCCTATAATTATATAAAGATATGTTTTATGCTGTTGCTCAATGAGTCACTGACAATAAACAATTTAGATTAATTAAAACATTAAAAAGGTAATAAAAATCAAATACCGTGTTATAAAAAACTGCACATTAAGCAATGACGTGCCACATGCTTAACGTGACGTCAGACACAAGCCTTGAGTCACGATCCACCATAGCAACTGTTGCGGCAATCCTTTTACAATAGTGCTCAAAATACCAAATACTAAAATAGTCCTTTATCAAACGCAACAAATACAACATATAATAATTGGTTGGAATTGCTAAATACAGTAATTAACAATCCTAAACCAATTGCTAAATACTAATGTTCGAAAAAACTTGCCGCAATAGCAGCCATGGCGTACCGTAACTCAAGGCTTGTGTCTCACACCACGTTATGCCTGACGCACTCCCCATCGTAATGCACGGTTTTTGTTACACAATAGTTGATTTTACTTATTTTTTTAATGTCTTATTTCTTAGTTTTTAATATATAATTTCATTTACATTACTTAGTATCATTGATTTATTGAGGAATAATATAAAACATATGTTTATGTATATAATTTTATATATGATATAAAGATTTGGCGCCATAAATCACGACTTAAAAACGCAGCGACCTCGTTGTGGCTTCCAAGGCTTGAGGCTTAACCTCGCCGCCACGTCACGCCTCACGTTATTTAGAACCTTGCTAAATATCGGTATAGACATTCCAAGAGGTGGAATCAATTACATAGAATATAACATGACGACTTGACTTTTCATTGGGGATTTTCCTTAGAGGTCACCGATTCAAGTCTCGTAAGGTCGGTGGAGCTTTTTCGGCTACTGTCAAGAGCCCGTGAGATTAATTGAGATACATTCAAGCTGGACCGGACCCATTAGAACTTTACTAGACGTGTCCCATTTTTATGGCTTTATGCAAAAGTACGGGGGTTGTTATGTAAATTGTTGGATTAGCAATTGATGCGTGTATAAATAAGATCCCGTGATGATTTGATCTGCGATCAGCCCAATCGCATCATCACATCAAATCCAATATACTCACTCGAAAGTTCGATCTCTTTGTGTTCCCCCAAATTCGAATCCGAAGATGAATGATGCAGATGTCTCCAAGCAGATTGAGCAGATGGTCAGATTCATCCGTCAAGAAGCGGATGAAAAAGCCAACGAGATTTCGGTATCCGCTGAAGAAGTAAGTCAATTCGAATCAAATCAAATGGAGTTAACTCTGCATTGTTCGATTCAATGTTTCTGATCTACATTGATTAAGTTGTTGTGTACAGTAGTCTCGTGATTACAAGACGAAATTTTGTTTGTTTTGTTTTCGTTAACTGTTTTAGGAACTTAAACCGAGTAGTTGCAATTTTCAATTGAGAAACAAATCGATTCGAGTATACACATCCATTATTTTTGTTTCTATAATGTTCGTTGTAAATTACATTGGGTTCGGTAGCTATGCACTATAATTACATGATCAGGATAAGAAGGTTTCTTCCTCTAGGAATTGAACATTGAGAACATGCAATTAGTGAATCAAATCAATTCATATTATAAAAACTCAATTTTACGCCAAATACTCTCAAGATGATTTGATGTCAACGAAATTGGGGTTACTTAGTACTGTGATTTCTGTAAATAGGTGACATTCGAAAGTTGCAACTAGCAAATCAAATGAAATGAAGTCAATTTCATGTTGTTTAAATTCAGTCTAATTTGCAGCTAATGAAATTACCTGTTAAGTAGCTCCGGACATTAATTACATAATCAGAATACAAATTTGTATCTGTTTTCTCGCAGGAATTAGCTAAAAAATTGCAATTGGTAAACCATAAAAAACGAAGCAATAAATTCAAAAAGTTTTTAAATCAGTTTAATTCACATATGCACTGGATTTTAAGGGATATGTACCTCTGTACAGAAAGTCAGAAGTTACGTGATTATCAGATGTATTTATCATTTAATATCTGATTGATATAGGAGTTTAACATTGAGAAGTTGCAATTAGTGGAGGCGGAGAAAAAGAAGATCCGACAGGAGTATGAGCGCAAACAGAAGCAGGTTGAAGTCCGAAAGAAAATGTAAAGTTCCAATGTTTTATTTATTCATCTGTCTATGTGTACTATCTTTATATGAATTTTCATCGACTTATATTTGTAACTATAGATCTCATGGGGTGAGTGGGTTAAGAGTGATGGTTACACAGTTTATCAGTTATGCATTTTGGTTTTGATGATTTGTTCATTTTTTAAGAACTGATCTAATCTGATCATGGATTTGGTGGCATAGTCTGAATGAATTAGTTTTACAGATGGCACAACCTCTTTACACTAGATCTGGTTTAGATTTGGTGGCATAGTCTGAATGGTTTAGTTTACTATATGTCTTATCTGTACCTCTGGTTTAAGCTTGTGAAACATGAGTTCGTTTGTACAAGTATGTGAAGTTCTGAAACTAACAAAAAGAATGCAAGGAGCCATTTGAATTCCTTTGTTGGGATACCAACAAATTGCGCTCAAGGATGATGACATGATGCCAAATGTTGTTTGACACATTTATATGAAAGTAAAGGCAGGAAAATGATTCAGATTTCACAAGCTCTTTCTGAAGACTAAAAGGCTTTATTTAACAACTCACACCACAAGTCCACAAATAACAATGTATTGTGTCAAAAGCTTTGTTTTGGCAAGATTAGGTTTGTATGATTGCATATGACTTTTTCCATAACGCTTGTTGCAGTGAGTACTCTATGCAGCTCAATGCTTCTCGGATCAAAGTTCTTCAAGCTCAGGATGACTTGGTTAGTGCCATGAAAGAGACAGCATCAAAAGATCTTTTGAATGTCAGCCATTACAAGTCCCGTCACCTTCATAATTATGAAGGACTGTTGAGAGCTCTTATTATCCAGGTACAACCGTACAAGTAATACATTATCTGAAATTCTTTACATTACATCATTGAAGAATATCATATTAATAACCTAAAAGATAAACACTCAACCAAAGGGTCATTGGCTTACAGGAGGTCAAGGGTTCAAACCTACCAAAGATGAGGAGTATGCATGAGTATTTACCCGTATATAGATATTATATACTTAAAGAAAAAGAGATAAGATCTGAGGAATAAGTGAATAATTTATGGTTATGCTGCTGTATGCATTAATGTTTTCTTGTTTGAATGAGTTTTTCTTTGCGTAATTATATGATAGAATACATTTCTGCAAAGAAAAACTCATTCAAACAAGAAAACATTAATGCATACAGCAGCATAACCATAAGTTATTCACTTATTCCTCAGTTCTTATCTATTCTATCAAATAATTGCAAGATCTGGGAAGAAGAACACACGGTTTCAAGTGCTTTAGGAACCTGGTTATCATATCAAAATGTTGTTTCTATAACTAAAATAACGTAAAACACGATACACTATCAACTATGGCACATTGTTTGTGGCCATCACCTTGTGACTTGTGTCATTGATAAGTGATTAGTTGATGATTGCTGTGTGTTTTTAATCCTCACGAACTTTTCACTTTCAAACTTGTTCAAACACAATGATTTGCATCCCTAACGAAGTTGGTATTATGTGTTTCAGAGTTTACTCAGACTGAAAGAACCATCTGTGTTACTAAGATGTCGAAAAGAAGATTTGCATATGGTTGAATCTGTTCTGGATTCAGCAAAAGCGAAATATGCAGGAAAAGAACGCGTGCACACACCCGAGATTATTATTGACGACATCCACCTTCCACCTGCTCCTTCCCATGATGACCCTCATGCTCTTTCTTGGTATACATTGGTTTATATGTCCAACTATACATATATTAGGGCCTGTTTGTTAGCAGTTTAATGGAACTTACAACTTATTGGATCAACTATACATGACTGCATGGTAGTGATTTAACGATATAGGAAGTAGCTTATTCAGTAAGCTTCTAGGGGGAGTTTTATGCAGAAAACTAAGTTTTTTCCAAACATGCCCCCTTCCAATTAAAAAACACGCTCCTTCCATTTATGAAAAAAAACCCTCCTAAACAAAATCTTCCCAACATGTACAGACATATTAATCTACACAAAACTTAATGAAATACCTACCAAACAGCCCCTTACTCTACCTTTCTTTAGGAGTCCTCTAGTTAAGTTTCCTTCTGATAGGTTTTAAAAATAAATAAATAACCTTCTGGCAAGTTTGAGAATAAATGCTTAACAGAAGAATGTCACTTCTATACATAATAATGCTTAGAAATATGCCAGAAGGTTATAGATTTATAAAACACTTGTTAGGAGGTCATTTAGGTAAATAACCCCTTTCTTTCTTTCTTTCTTTCTTTCTTTCTTTCTTTATTAAATACTTCAATTTTCTTGAGTTCACCATAAATTTCACACTTGGATGCACTTGAGTAGCTTTATGAAATGTTAACTATTGAAAACATTGTTATATTTGGAAAATTTCAGCTCGGGAGGTGTAGTTTTGGCTTCTCGTGATGGTAAAATTGTGATTGAAAACACACTTGATGCTAGATTGGATGTTATATTCCGCGGAAAACTTCCAGAGGTACTTCATGTTTGATCACACCTTCATCACCTCCCTTTATAGTCCCAGTTTACCTTTACTTGTACGATCTTGATTTACTCGGCTTGCTGCTTGTTTGCAGATTCGCAAATTGCTGTTTGCTCAGGTTGCTGCTTAAACAAACATGATGCCAATCGATTGATCGAAGCAGTCGGGATTCTTAAACCAAATACAAAGAGCAGATCCACCACCAGTTGCCTGCCTACCTGCCTTTGTGTTTGATCTTGCATGTCTTACATATTCATTTTGTTGATCAGTTGAATTGCTCATTTGTTTGAATATACTTCACTATTTTTTGCAACCATTTATTTCCCCTATTCACATGTGAATCTATTTTAAAACTAAGTGGCAAAATGGGTGCCAAATGAGTAATTTCTTTTGAAATAAGTTGGGTCGGGTTATGTTGACCTGCCAACACTTTTTTTTTTTAATTTAAAATTTAATAGTGTTATACTTGTGCAATATAACAGAATGCAAAATCTTATAATAAATTAAAGAGTGTAAAAATTGTTGTTAGATTTGGTAAACCATTTTGTTGTTTTTTCTATTTTTTTATAATTAGAATGGATTTTTATCCATTAAGTTACAAACCAACCAATCAAAAGTTAAGAATCTCAATTGCGTCAATAGTAGTATTTACCGATCGCATGGTTGTACAACGCAACCAACATTGTTAACAAGTGTTACTTTTACCTAAATGACGTTATTCGGTTACGAAATTAAGAAGAATCTATACATATAGCAAGTAACTTTGATCCCATCCATCAAAGTGATCCTTTAGCGTAAGTCCAGAAGCATTTCTCATTATTTTTAAGGGTCTATTCGTTAGCAATTTAATAAGGCTTACAATTATTCGGTCAATTATATACGATAGTTTGATAACAGCTTAATGATATATAAAGTGTATTATTCGATAAGCTTACAAGAAAAACTTTATACAGAAAAAACTAAGTTTTTTTTTTCCAAATCTGTCCCTCTTAATTAAGCACGCTCATTCCATTCTAAAAATACCCTTTTAAACAGAACTTTCCCAAATGAAAATTATAATGTTCATTTTCCAACAAATTCTCTAAAATAGAACAATACAGAAGAAAAGGTCATTTCTTCAATTTTGAAGAAATCCCTAAAAGTAATTGCTTAGAGTATCTCTAACATATGTTCCAATTTTTTTTTTCCAAAATGGAGAATCACATTCAAAATCTCAAAAAGTACATTTAACTCGATATCTTCTTCATATTATTAAAATATTTCATATATTAATAAAATATTTTTTTTCAAATATTTAATCTCAATGTTTCTTATTGATAAATATACAACAAATCTTTTTTCTTTTATGGTAATTATTTTTTGGTAATTTTCTAAATTTGTAGAATTTTATATATTTTCCTTTTTAAAATTTTAAAGAATTTGTTCAAGATATTTTTAGGATAGAAAAAATGTTTTTTCATTATTCTTACCAATAAAAATCATCAAAATTAAATGTTTATAAAGAAATATTATTTTTATTAAATGTATTGAATATTTTAATAATATTTTTTATTTTATGATCTTCAAAACAAGAAATTTAATTATTATTATAAATTTTGAATTTTAATTCTCTCTTTTTTTTAAACTATTTTAAAAAATTCATTAAAGATATTCCAATTACTAATTGCCATATAAGCCAAAAATATCTTCAAACTCCCCTTTTTGGGCTTCTTGAAATTGACTGCCATAATAATAACTCAATATTGGGCTTCTTGAAATTGCCTGCCATAATAATAGCTCAATAATGGGCTTCTATTTTTGAGTTATGACATATATGAAAATCTAGTATAAGGTACACCGTACAAGCTGGGGTAGCTGGTGTTTGCGATGCGATTTGGGACCAAAAGGCAAAATGTATAAAATAACAATCTACTTTTATAAATTTCTTTATTATAGTATTGTACTTTCAGTTTTTCTTATTACAATAATGTACTTTCAAACTATTTTTTATTAGAACATTGTACTTTGAAAATTTATCCATTATAGCATTGAGTGACATTTTGATTTTAATTTACCCATTATCCTATGTTTTCATGCCACCTCATTGTTCACGTAGGCTGTCTACATGTACTATAGTGATGTGACTGACTTTCTTATTACAACATTGCACTTTCAAAATTATTTTATTATAACATCTATCAGTTCTTATAAACAACGTACTTTTAATTTTAATATTTAGATATTTTACATGTTATTTAATAAATATATTTTATGAATTAAAAAAATAAATTATTCATTAATATACCAATATTAATAAAACTAGTAGAAGACAATTTATCTCGCTAATATTTTTAAAAAAATATGTGTTTTCTGAAAAAAGAAAATAAGAATTTTTCCTTTTTTAACAAAAAAATTATCTTTTAAAGAATATATTATATTAGTTCAAAAACTTACTTGACGTACAAATATATTAAATTAGTTAGATTTTTTGAATTATTTATTAATTAAAAAATTGTAAAACACAATTTATTTCGTTAACATTTTAGAGAAAACTTTAAAAAATATATATTTTTTTTAACAACATAAAATAAGAGATGTTACCTTTTTTACAAACAAAATATATCTAAAAAATAATGTAGCATATTTATTTAAAAAATATTTTATTCTATAATATTTAATTTGCATGCAACTTAATAAGAAAAAATTAAAAAAGTTAAATGTTTTTTAAATTATAACAATGAAAAATGAAAGTCACTAATAATAATTTGAAATAGGTTTTTATTTTTATTTTAATTAAGTCATCAAAATGATGTGTCATCCACGTCACACCATTAAAGTCACACAAGCAAAAAAAGTCAAGAGGTTAACCGGTTTAAATATAACAGGTTACCCATTGCTATAATGAGTAGATTTTTTAAAGTGTAATGCCTTAATAAAAAATAATTTAAAAATACATTGCTGTAAGAAAGAAAAACAAAAGTAGAATGCTATAATAATTTTTTTATGAAAGTAAGTTGCTATTTCATGTATTTAACTCTGGGACCAAATTACAAACCGTACAACATATGTGGTTTGAGTATTTTTTTTTCCAAATCGTAAATCATAATGCATAAACCTCAAACTATACCAAAATGTACCGCATTTTGCATTGTGGTTTGTCCTATCATACTTTATGCATATAATAAATAATTATAAGTTTAAAAATACATTATAAAATCAATGATAAAGTGACTGTAGTCCAAAAAACTATAGAGTTTCACTACATCCGGTTCATAAATACATATTGCATAATTAAAAATAGTCCAAAACTATTAAGTTAATTTATTAATATTGCCAATTGAATCAAACTCAAAGTCTAAAACACATAGTCCAAAAATATTACGTAAATGCCATATTATCTATACTATATTTTAAAACATTTGACAAAAACTCTTAAAAACCATTTTTTGTGCATAAAGTACTGTTTATTAATGTATATTACTTAAAATTCAAGATTACAAGTAGATTATGCGTAAGTACAACTTATTAAAACTTCATATCTGAATTCGTGTAACTAACTGCAGATAAACATAATCAAATACATGGTAAACATATCATTTTAAATATAAAAAAATCTAAAATATAATTAGGACAATCATTGAGTTCTAACAGAATACTTAATTATTATCTTTATAAAATGTTATATTATTAAACTAAAAATAAATTATTTCGTTATTAAACTTAAATTAAATTATAATAAAAAAATAAATTACATAAAAAATAAAAACTTTTAAATAACTGATTTGATATTAACATTAATATTTTTTTTTTCAAAATTTTATGATATCTTCAAATTTATATTTTATTCAAAAATAAAATCATTGTTGTTTTCTTAAAAACACATAATTTATACTATATTATAAAGTATTTGACAAAAACTCTTAAAAACCATTTTTATGCGTAAAATACTGTTTATTAATGCATATTACTTAAAACTCAAAATAATAAGTAGATTGTGCGTAAGTACAACTTATTAAAACACCATATCTGAATTCGTGTAACTAACTGCAGATAAACATAATCAAATACAGGATAAACATTTCATTTTAAATATAAGAAATCTAAAATATAATTAAGATAATCATTGAGTTCTAACAGAATACTTAATTATTATATTTATAAAATGTTATATTATTAAACCAAAAATAAATTATTTCGTTATTAAACTTAAGTTAAATTATAACAAAAAAACTTAAAGAAATTACATAAAAAATGAGAACTTTTAAATAGTTGATTTGATATTAACATTGATATATTTTTTTTCAAAATTTTATGATATCTTCAAATTTATATTTTATTCAAAAATAAAATCATTATTGTTTTATTAAAAACACATAAAATCGTATTATAATATCAACGGAGACAAATAATAAAATGAAATATTAAAATCGAGATGTGTCTCGCTGCGCGAGTACTCTTCTAATATATATATATATATATATATATATATATATATATATATGGACCTAATCAAATGAGAACTAGATAGTTTGTGGTAACTGTGAGGTCCAATATGGATCAATTATTTTAGATAATTAATGTTATTTACTAAAATAAAACAAAGGGTAAAGTGGTAAATTGTGTTGATTATTCAATTTACTGTAATTAGTTTAATATTCTAATTTACTTTACTTAGTTTAATTGTTCTAATATATGTATATCGCACACACACAAGAACACACAAGGACCAAATCCGGTGACCTTCTTCGGCACCTACCACCACTCAGGTGACCTCCTTCGGTCATCTTGTCTGACCAAGACATCGTCTCTGATGATCGACCACTAAACACCCACCTGTAATAGTGGTACCACAGTGGTGCCACAATTGGTATCACAGTGATCTCAAAGTTTACTTGGTGTGTTTTGGGTATCACATTGTATCTTGGTGTATTTTGGGTACCACATGGTGTTCGTCGGAGGCCGAAGGTAGGAGAGAGAGAGGAGAGATAAATTTTTTAAAATACCTAAAATACCCTTTAATTATAATTTTAAGTCAAATTACCAAAAATATTAGTTTCCTAATTTATCTATTGATTTGTGGTTGAGATTATATCTCACAGTTATTACAAACTAATCAGTTCTCCCTTAAATGGACCCCTATATATATTAGACGAATAATCGTGTGAGAAGAAGAGTTAAGTTGAGAAGCGTAAAAGATCAGAACCCTTGATCACTTCTAATCTCATGTCCACCCATGAATTGTGCTTTAGAAGGGATTCGATCTGATGCATATCGGTGTACCTCATTAGTGTTGATCTTCAATTAGGATTGATCCAAGGATGTGGATCCCTTCTTACCTTTCTCATCATAACTTGCTTTCTTACCGAACCCAACCATATATATATATATATATATATATATATATGGTGAAATACTGTGTGAGAAAGGAAGTTACAGTGGGAAACCTGTAAGAAAAGATCTA